TTATGCATACAGGATATGTTATGTGTTGTTAATAAAGCGTTGAGAGTGCGTTAAATGTTTAGTATTGGATCACAGTTACATTAATAAAAAGAGTCGAGAGGTTGTGTGTCTAAATTTGCCCAAATCGCTTGGGCTTACCTGATCGGGACCCTAAATGCTTAGTCTGAACAGGTCGTCCAATCTGTAGAATGAAATACGAAACATCTTTGACTGACCTTAAATGCTTTAGTTCAAACAGTATGAGCATTATAACGTAAAGTACACGTGGACACCGTTAACCGGTCCCCACAACATTTGATTCCGAACATTGACTATCCAGTACACGTTATCATGTAACATATACGTCATAATTAAAAACATATTGAGAAGAAAACTGTCGTCAGCCGCCTGGCTAGCTTAATGCTGGCTATCACAGAGTCATTTACGATGGAAAGTCTGTGTGTTGGTAAGATGTTTGGATTATCGCTGCACTCTTATAAATATTTTATTTCTTGACAACTTTCGCAGCTTTCATAGCCACCTTAGCCTCCTTTTCCGCACCGACCTTCTGCAATTCCTTGTCGACACGAACTTTCAGCCGCTGCTCTAAGTCCTGTCTGAATCCAAATCGAAAGACTAGTTCAAATACAACAAAGAAGGGGGCCAATACGAGGGATTGGAGCAGGTTGTCTAGCAGCGCTGGAGCACGTTTCTCGTAAACCGCATGGCCAATGAATTGCAGTATCCAAGATATAACCCACAATCCTCCAGCAATATAATTTCCAGCCGTGCCGTACTCATTTATGAGATCGGTGGCGATAATCGAGGAGCCGACAACCAAAGGCGACAAGATTCCGCCGACAACGGGATCAAGAAGAATATAGAAAATTGCATAGCCTAGGGCAACGAGAACGCCAACATTGAGGTAGCTGTTAAGGTAGCTGTTAAGGTAGGAACCAAAGAGGGAGAACAATGGACCTGAGTTGGTAGCCAGGGCGAACGAGGTCACGAGGATAATGGGAACACATACTGTGTGGATCCACACGTTAACCTCCTGATCTGTCGAGTCGCAGTCAGATTGGTTGTAACAATACAACAGAGTTTGCAATAAGCCTATTACGTACGGTGATAAGCCATGTAGAAGGAAAGCTGGTCTTCTAGATCAAGGACTGCCATTTGGACTGAATTTTACACCTACAGTAAGTAATTGGTCTGTTGAGTGTAATAGACTGTGGTTTCGGTGATAACATTGAAGCGAACTTAAGGGAACAGAGGCGCCTTGCACGCATTTATATAGTACTATAACGTAGGGTACGGGTCATTGGGCCGGCTGACACCACTCTACCAATTCCAACACATTATATTGCAACAACTAATCCTCTAGAGAAGAATTACAGGATTCGGATAATTCCTCAGTATCTTCCCTTACAATTCTTCGTTAGTTTCCTCAATTTTGCGTGGGCGTGGGCGTCCACGAGGCCGTTTTGTGACCTGCTTCTTCACAGCATCCTCTGCGATTTTTAACGCTTCCTCAGTGCCAAATAAAAATTTCCCTTCTAACTTCACTCTTTTACCTCACTTACGTACCTTCCGGGCCTGGAGAATCTCTGCGGCATCTTCCATTTGCTTGCGCATAATTGATATTTCCGCATTCTGCAAATCAACCACGTGGGTCAGGCGATGTAAATCTCTCCTGATTGTTCAAGACCGATCGCAAGACTGTAATTGATTCTCGGAGCTCAGTAACGTCTAGGGGGGAGGGGGGGGGGGGGGGTGGTCTTCGGCAAGGGGCAAATGCGATACCCTGGATTCTTATGTGTGTGG